AGATATTCTCACTCTCGATATGTGTGACTCATCTCTCACTCTTAGATCTTTTCAATTTGTGGATTAGACTGTTTAGCTTAATTGCCTCAACCATCCTCTGTGGCTGGGTTTGACTGGGAGGGTGTTAGTATGAAAATTGTATTGTCATTTCCTAGACTCTAGCATAGGTCGAAAATTAGTGTGTGAAGAATTGTTACTAGACGTTTTGGCACAACTTATTCAACCGCATTCTTCCGAGGCATGACTTGACCATATGAGAAACTTGATAACAGGTAATCATGACATAATCATGCATTCATTATAGGATTCCTAGTTGGAATTGTTTTAACACAAGTATTTTTATGTTAATCCTATTTTTAATAGGATTAGATTTTATCTCTTGATATTATTTCCTACTTGATTGGCCGTAGTGGAAAGTCATTAGGTTTCTTCACATCTTGCATTAGTTGGCGTCATCACATAGCATGTAAATGGAATTAGAATTTATATTGATAATTGGATATTTGTTGGCGGCTGTTTTGGAGTCTCAAGGAAGAGACCTCTTGGCATGATGTTTAGGAGTCTTAGTTGAATTGGTTTTGAGTATCATTGTTGCATAGGAAGTGTGGTCACGTGGGTTTCTCTCTAGTGAGAGAAACCCTGCATGGAATAAAACCAATTGTTGTTTCTTTTCATGGTAGGCTTTTCATGTATTATCTTTGAGAGCATATTGAATCTGTTGGTGGAAAAAAAGCTGTTGTGATTATTTTCTTCAATAAGTCATCAAGTGCTCCTTTGTTGCTGGGTGACTTATTGAATCTTTTGTTCATTCATATTGCATTCATTTGTCGGTGACTAATATGGTTGAGAGCACCAAGACCGTGGTGTCGGTTTTCCTCCGGCGAGCTTGAAGCAATCATGACCAGTATTGCGTTCAATATAAGGAGTGTTGAAGATCATCCCGTGACAGAAGTTGAGTTACAAGTCGGTAAACATTATCTAGAATGTGTCTAGGATAAGTGTGTGAGTACTTCTTGTAATCATCGTTCTATAGTGGATTTGTGTTGGACTAAGGAGTTCCGTGGATTTTCCCTAGAGGTGGGGTTTTACCACGTTAAATAATTCTCTGCGTGTTCTTTTATTTTATGCCTAGCACATTTCAGGATTGATAAACCATATCAATCCTGCTACCGAAGTTTATTGATTATAATATTAAATTAGCCTATTAACACCCTCTAGGCACATATAGACATCCTACAAGTATTTTCAGAGGGAGAGAAAGGGAGAGAAATGGATGATAGATGCGATGTTGATCTTGACTTCTTACTGAACGATTGTGGCTGAAATAGAAACGATTGGCCGACATAGAAACGATCGAAGTGGGGATTGCCCATGAACTCAGAACGGTTTCTGAGTTCTTTCTAACAAGAGTTACCCTAAATTCTAATGAAAGCATTTTGAAAACTAGAAATTACCTCATAAAAAAAGATAAAAGGGTGCATTTGAGCAGTCGTTGGGCTTGGTTTGTTTGATTGGTGCTCGATCCTTCTTCAGTTTTGCTTCTATTTATAGACTTTGTATTTTTATCTGGCCAAGTCGATAATCCTAGCTGTGGCTCTGACATGCGTCCAATAAGCTCTATGGCTTCCTCCATATGCTTTCGCTTGTGAATGGTCAAGATGGGCGGTGGAAAAGGAGAATATCGGCCTCATTCTGACAACTTGGGCGGTGAAAAAGGTGAATCTTGGTCGGCCTCTTGCTCTCTCGGTGAGGCAAGTAAGCCTTTGACCATTGCTTGTTTGCTTCGTCGGTTGGGGCAAATAATTATTCAGTCTAATTGTTGGTTGACTACTTCCTTTTGAAATGCAAGCACTGACTGAGTAAGCAATCTTCTCAGTTTAGTGTCTCTATGAGGCAAACCTTTTGTGTCTTGAGGAGTTCGGTCTCTTCTATTCACCTAGGCCACTTATGTGGGCCTGAAAGCCCTTCCTTAGGCCCAAAGAAATCCTCTCTCTCTAGCTGTCATTATTTTTGAAGGCTCATTCTTTTCAGGCTCATGGGCAAAAAACTAGGTCTCTAAACATGGCCGGAGAAAAAAACAAAAAACAAAAAAAAAAGAAGAGAAGAGAATAAGAGATGTGGAGACTCTAATGAGGAAGAGTCATTGGCATGAGATGGGCATCTCATTGATCATGTTAAGATGAGTATGCAACAGTTTGATGATGTTACTGTTTCGTTTAGTCTAGGGGGTGCAATCAAGTAGCTCATCTACTAGCAAAGTATGCACTTAATTGTAATTTTATTGCAACTTGAATTGAAGAGGTTGCCCTTTTGTTAGGACCAGTTATACAAAATGATACTGTTATATCCTCTTAATTGTTGTTAATGAATTCCTCTTTCGCAAAAAAGAAAAAAAGAAAAAGAAAAAAAAAGACATGTGGTGACTGGAGAGAAAAAAGAGAGTGTTGGGGTTGAAACCGTAACATATTTATAATGTCTTTTAGTTCTTTTATGAAGTTATTAAATAACCTCAATATATACCTATATTTTACAAAAAAATCTAATTACTCTAGTTGTATGAGGACTTCATTGCAAACCAAGAGATAGGGGGTTTGACTCCCTCTTGGCACACAATTTTTTCAATCTTTGGCGATTCACAAGTCGGTTCGGTGCTAGACCGATTTATAGTAGTTCGGTCTGATTCTATCAATTGAGCGGTTTCATGTTTTCAATTCCCAACCCTAGAAAAATTTTAGATGATGTTTTTCAATGGGTGCTTAGATTAACATAGGTATCACTACCTCCCCATGTACTTTGAGGCCTTTATTCTCTTTTTGGCAGGCTCTATGGATATTTTGATATCAACCAAATACATATACGATTAATAGCATAAATAAAAGAAAAATGTGTCAAATTGGAAGGTCCAATTTCAATCTAAGTAGTGGACAAATATGGAAATGAAAACCTAATCAAAGTTTAGCAGTCGTTGGGCTTGGTTTGTTTGCTCCCTCGGTTGGGGCAAATAATTATTCGGTCCAATTGTTGGTCGACCTATTTCCTCTTAAAATGCAAGCATTGAGTAAGCAATCTTCTCTCGGTTTACTGTCTCTATGAGGTAAACCTTTTGTGTCTTGCGGAGTTCAGTCTCTTCTATTCACCTAGGCCACTTATGTGGGCCTGAAAGCCCTTCCTTAGGCCCAAAGAAATCCTCTCTCTCTAGCTGTCATTATTTTTGAAAAACAATAGACAATTACTGAAAACTCCTTAAGTAAAGCTCAATTTTACATAAACCCGCTTTTTGGGTAATTTTTATGTGCAGTATAGTACTTCAACCTGATCTAGTAGAGGGTTATGAATTGAAAATCGTTTGAAGGTTTATTCTATTTTATTTTAATTTTTAATTCTTTGAACAACCACTTTTTATTTAAATTTTTTTTTAATTAATTGCACAAAATTACGGCAAATGGTAAATGGTTCCTAAACTTTTTAAAAAGTGCTCAGTATTTTAGTGCTCGAACTTTCAAATTAATAAATGCGGTCCTTACAATTTTGGTCCATACATCAATTTGGTCATATTGTCATTGCATTCCATCATAATTTTCATTAAAATTGATTTCGTATCATCACCTAACAAGCTTCAAATTAGTAATCAAAATATAGCTCATCCGCCCAATAAACAATAAAAAAATCTCCTATCTTTTCCTTAAGAAGGTCGTCTACTTTCTATTTACGAAGAAGTGAGTTTTATTTTATCTACGTGAATTATAGGCTGTATTTTGAAAAAAATTAAGACTTTAAAGTTGGTCGCACGACCACTTCCACTGAAGGTTTTGATGGAATGGGGTGGCAAACACCAAATTTATGTCTACAATTACAACTGTACACAAATAATACAAATATACGTAAGAACGACATGATAGCAAGCTATCAAAAGATAAAAGGAAAGAACCTTGAATCTGGGAGATCACTTTGCAACAAGGGTTGCTTGTGTCTTCAAAGCCTGTAATAAATGCAACAAAAATAAGTCACTACTTGGTAAGAAATAACGAAACGAAATGGGTTGGACACAGGCAATTCTAGGTTACAAAATTTCTTCTTTATTTTTAGTTCTTTGAACAACCACTTTTAAAAAAAATAATAATAATAATTGCACAAAATTTCGGCAAATGGTAAATGGTTCCTAAACTTTTTAAAAAGTGCTCATTATTTTAGTGCTCGAACTTTCAAATTAATAAATGCGGTCCTTACAATTTTGGTCCATACATCAATTTGGTCATATTGTCATTGCATTCCATCATAATTTTCATTAAAATTGATTCCATATCATCACCTAACAAGCTTCAAATTGGTAATCAAAACATAGCTCATCCGCCCATAAACAATAAAAAATCTCCTATCTTTTCCTTTAGAAGGTCGTCTACACTCTATTTACAAAGAAGTGAATTTTATTTTATCTGCGTGAATTATAGGTTGTATTTTGAAAAAATTTAAGACTTTAAAGTTGGTCGCACGGCCACTTCCACTGAAGGTTTTGATGGAATGGGGTGGCAAATACCAAATTTATGTATACAATTACAACTGTACACAAATAATACAAATATACGTAAGAACGACATGATAGCAAGCTATCAAAAGATAAAAGGAAAGAACCTTGAATCTGGGAGATCACTTTGCAACAAGGGTTGCTTGTGTCTTCAAAGCCTGTAATAAATGCAACAAAAATAAGTCACTACTTGGTAAGAAATAACGAAACGAAATGGGTTGGACACAGGCAATTCTAGGTTACAAAATTTCTTCCCCAAATGATGTTCTAGTACACATGTTAGGTCGTTCAGAAATACTAGCTACTTTCCTCCATATGGCACAAAATGAACAGGGAAGGTAAAAAGAGAAAAGCAAAAAGGGAAGGTAACTAGCACTTCTCGTTTGTTATCTATAATTCCAAATTTTCTGAGCAGCACTAAATGTTTAATGCTATAGGAACAATGTAATACTTTGTTATTCAAATATCTGATATGTAGTCATATGACCAAAGCAAAATTGAAGTCAGGCATGCTTCTTTTGAGAGCATCTAGCAGTATCTTCAGCCGAACGTTGTACATCTGAGCTGCTTGGCTCAGAGCTTGAGGGCTGCCTATAAAATTTGGTCTGTTAAGCGCGGGACTGTAGCCTAGTGGATTTATTGACATTACCACAAATTTTCGACCTCCCAAACTATACAGTTTCTGCAACAATAAAGCGGATCATGATTTAAAATATTGTGTGTCAAAACTTGGCCCAGAAATATAAAAAAGGGCTCAGTCAAACATGATCGAGAGAGGAATCGTAATCGTTGTGACACTGTCCTTAAGTAGTTGTAGACGCCTCGCTACGTGCAAGTTATAGCTACCGTACTACAACTCCAATGTACAACTCTTGAAACTCACACGATGTATGATTCCTTAAGCACGATCACAGCATACGATATGCTTAGAAGTGTGTATTAGATTACCCATTAATTGTAGAGAGGAAGAGAGGAGAGATAGTAGGAATATAGATGAAAGATGATTGGACATGAGGGTAAGGGAACTCAATCGAACGTATACTCCATTTTTCTGAGAAATATATACAAAAGACATGACTTTTACTTGACCTTTTAGTAAGGGACTATGACTATTCACTTTAAACTCATGGGTGTGGAAAAGTATATTTGGCCTAAGATTAAGGTTCGAAACTCATCGGAACCAACCCCTTTTTGAGAAAAAAAAAAACCAACATAACATAATTACTTAATAATAAACAACTAGCTTTGAATCTTAATAAAAATAAAAATAAAAACATAAAAATCCAACCATTTGTAGCAAGTTGGAGAATTCTTGTTATATATTATATATCAAAATGCACCTGGAGTTTTTGAGCCAGAGAGGCAATGAGACTTCTAGTGAAGGCTTCAAGGCCAAATTGGAGGTAGGATTTCCTGGCGAAGTAGTTGAACATGTAATCGTTCCCACCAACTCCGACAACAAACAAGCAGCTTGGAAGTGATTCAGAGCTTTTGCACCCCAGCTCAGCTTCTAGCTCTGGCAATGTCTCCTCCTCGAAGTCCCGGACTTGCTGGCTCAAATTGATAACATTGCCCTGAAATATTAACGAGCTTAATGCTCATTGATTATCATATAAAATCGAAATTAATTATACTTAAAATTAATTTTGTTTTTACTTTATTACCTTTAAGAGATGCCAAACTTGATATGAAGGGATCATTAATATTGTCATACAGGTCATGGACGCTGCTGATGCTTCTAAAGAATTATAGGCTACTAGTGAAACACGTGAGTTATTTGTCTATGGTTGCCATTCACAAGTTAAATATGAAATTAACCCCTTTTGCATGAATGAAGATAGATTAGTTGGGATGGAGAGGGTTGTAGCTCATAATATATATGTTCCAATGAAGATAATAAAACCAAAGTAAACTTCAATTTATATATGTAAAAATGAATAAGGTAAATTACTCCAATGGTCCCTAAACTTGTACGCGATTTACATTTTGGGGCCTCAATTAAATTATTCGTTCAAATGGTCCATTAACTCTATATTAATCGCTCCATTGGTCCTACCGTCTAATTTTCTGTTAGATTTAACCAAATTTTAGGGTAAATAATGACCAATTTGCCCTCATATTTAACGGAAATATTGACAGAATGTAACGGTAGGACCATTGGAGCGAATAATATAGAGTTGATGGACCATTTGAACGAATAATTTAATTGAGGCTCCAAAATGTAAATCGCGTACAAGTTTGGGGACCATTTGAGTAATTAACCCTAAGGTTAAAGAGTCCATCTATGGTACAAATTCATATGACATGCGATCTTACAGTTGACAAATATCTATTCTAGCTCTAGTACGAAAATTGAATATATTCAGTCTAGATTTAATGGCATGTTTACTAATTTGGAATCAAAGTGAATATAAATCGGAGTGAACATGAATCAAAGTGAGCACGAATCACTTCAAGACATTCCCATTAAAGTGTTTACTACATAACTGTCTGGAATAAGAAGAAAAATGACTTTGGATGGAGGTGATTCCTATTCTTTCCGTTCCTATTCCAGTTAGTAAACATGCGCCATAAGGCTTTAAAAATGAGTTTGTATCATTGTATGCAATATGAGTTAACGCCGCTAAAATTTTCCAGCAGCGTTTAAATAAAAATAGAAAACACATAATTAAGCATGAAAAAGAAGGTAATATGATGAGATGAGATTAATTAACGAAGATCAGTATAGTTCGACATACCACAATTGAGCCGGTATCATCTAATATACTGGAAGAGCCAGAGGCATGGTTGACTCCATGAAGAATTTTACTTCCCTTAGTTGAAGGGTATTTAGAAGGTGGGATGAAGGAAGGAAGCTTGAGTTGGTCACCAAGAAGGTCAACGACATTTTTGCCATTTGTGAATCTCCCAGAAGGTCCGTTTGGGAAATCAATACCATATGGCAAATAATCAGCTTTAGCCCTGCTTTCAAAGAAGTTATTGTTGCCATTGTCGACCAGAGAGCTTCCAAACACAAACATGCCTTTGGTCGCAGCTCCATCTTCTGCGAAGTTACAAATGGAAATGGATATAGGCAGACAAGCGAACAAAGAGAGATACAAAAACACAACTTGTTTGGAAGGTTGTTTTAGAGAGTGGTATTTCATGGTGGGTGGTTTCTGCTGGAGGGAAAGAAACAGGGATGAAATGTGGTTTTAATTCTCCAGAACCAAACTCTTCCTTTTCAAAGTATGAACTAGTATTTATATGAGTAGTTGGCTTTCACCTTTAACACACCTATTTTTTCTCTCCCACTTGCAGCCCTTTCATTATTGTTTCTCAAGGTTTTTTAATATCAAAGTTGTTTTAATAGAAAGGACACTCCTTGGCTCCTTATAAACAAATCACAGTTCGAGACATACGCAAAATTAATTTATTAAACTTATAAAAAGAAAAATTTGTGTACACATGTCATACAACTTGTCTTGGAATGACGCCTTACATACAAGGAGCTAAGTATTGCTAAAATATGAATATGGTTTGAATACTTTGGGTTAGGTTTTATTCTTCTCCATACGGAGGTATATATAGGAGTATACATGAGTGCTTTACAAGGAAATAGATACAGTAATCAATTAGGATAGTATCTCCTAATTATACAATGATTTGTCAACTATATAGAATAGAAAAGTAAATCCCTTAATTAATAAAGGAAATAAATCTCCTTGATTAATTAGGAGACTCACGTCAACACTCCCCCTCAAGTTGGTGCATATACGTCACCAATGCCCAACTTGGTAAGTGAGTCATGAAATACTCTGCCACAAACAACTTTTGTTAAGATATCTGCCAGTTGATCTTCTGATTTTATGAATGGTAGGCGGATGATCTTCTTCTCAATTTTTTCTTTGATAAAATGTCTATCCACCTCAACATGTTTGCACTACTACAAAAATCGAAATAGACGACGGTAATCCACCGTCGTGTATTCGGTTTTTCAACTGTCGTGAAATCGAGCGACATCTTTTGATGCATAAAACCACGACGGTAAATCCCCGTTGTCTATTATTTCTAAAGACGACGCTTTTACTCAAAACCGTCGTCTATTATATGTAAATAGATGACGATTTTACTCAAAACCGTCGTCTATTATGAAGTAAAGACGACCCTTTTTATATGAAAATGGTCGTCTATTATGAAGTAAAGACGACCCTTTTTATATAAAAACCGTTGTCTATTATATGTAAAGACGACCCTTTTTATATGAAAACCGTCGTCTATTATATGTAAAGACGACGGTTTTTTTTATAAAAAGGGTCGTCTATTATGAAGTAAAGACGACCCTTTTTATATGAAAATGGTCGTCTATTATGAAGTAAAGACGACCCTTTT